AGTAGAGACGGGGTTTCACCATTTTGACCAGGATGGTCTCGATCTCTTGACCTCGTGATCCACCCGCCTCGGCCTCCCAAAGTGCTGGGATTACAGGCGTGAGCCACCGCACCCGGCCTAGGAGTATACATATGTTTTAACGAACTTGAAGGCAATGATTCTTTGTAATTAAACATCCTCTAAGGAAGTGAATCTCCTTATAGCTTTAGGGAAACATCCTGGCATAATTCTCTGAAGAATCACAAGACACTCTCTCCATAAGGCTGCCCTCCCCTGAAAGAACATTTACCTTTCATTTTCCAGCGATTTCAAAATCTCGGAACTCTTCTTTTGTCTGTGGAGAAAATCATAAAAGGTCCCAGCAGTCACGAGCAGGCCTGTTTGCAGCATCACCGCACTAGCTGTGCAGAGGGGCTTCGGAACTGGGCTGGGGGCACCTTAGCTCCACCACCTAGGAGCTCTGGGTTCTTAGCCAGTTACAGAAACCACTCAAGTCCCACGTTTCCTCACCTATGAAATTAGAAGAATAAAAAAAAACTCAGCTGGGCACAGTGGCTTAAATCTGTAATCTTGTCACTTTGGGAGGCTAAAGCGGATGGATCCCTTGAGGCCAGGGGTCGAGACCAGCCTGGTCAACATGGATAAATCCTGTCTCTACAAAAATTAGCCAGGCGTGGCGGTACAAGCCTGTAGTCCCAGCTCCTCGGGAGTCTGAGGCAAGAGAATTACTTGAACTCAGGAGGCGGAGGCTGTCGTGAGCCAAGATTACACCACTACACTCCAACCTGGGTGACAGAGAGAGACTCTGTCTCAAGCAAAGCAAAGCAAAGCAAAGCAAAGCAAAGCAAAGCAAAAGAAAACAAAACAAAACCAACCCAGCTTCTTGGTGCATTTGTAAAGAGTAAATGAGGAAATAGACTTAACAAGCTTGGCACATAAGAAGCATCCAACAAGTGACCGGTTTCCTGAACTCACGAAGGTACTTGGAAACTGACAGGTGATGGAAGAACAAGTGATTCAAGGTTAGAAAAAGGAGGCCTGGAAGTAGCAAGGCATGTGGCTGGAGCCGGTTTCTGGAATCTTCCTGCAATGGACGCCCTCAGTAGACCTCTCAGGTTTCTTGAGATCTCTCTGGCACCACTTCTTCCCAGCCCCATCAAGATCTGCTCTTAGTAGCTCCTACCCTACACAGGGTTTGTTAAGGCAAATCTCACTATAGGTAAATAGCTAACCTCAGTGCAACAGGTAATGTCGAAGCCAAAATATTGGAGCAGGATGTGACCCCAGCTATCTTATCAAACCCACTCACTTAATAGATGGGCAGCTTGGGGCCCAGTGGGGAAACACTTGCTCGAGGCCACAGGTCCAGTCTGTAGCAGTTTCACGACAAGAAACCAGACTTTGTAACGCCTGTGTCAGATGCTTTTCTCTGTACACTGGTGCCAATTGAAGTACCCAGACTGGATCCTGACAGGGGTAGGCCTGGGGCAGGAGCAGAGTGGTGAGGGAGAAATGCGCTCCTCCCACTCCTCAGGGGACTGCACAGGGGGAGGGGGGAAAGCTCTGGGGTGGGGCTGAGGACCAGAGCCCAACCTCTGATTCTCCTGCAGCAGCATCTGGATCCGGCTGGAGATGCTCTGCTCCGTCTGCTTCAGCTGCTCCTGCAGCCGCTGCCGCTCTGCGTCAAGGTGGCGCTGGCGCTCACTCAGGCCCTGCTCCAGTCGGAACTGCTCCTGCAGCAGGGGGCAGGGGTCCTGAGCCCCTGGGACCCCATCAGACGCCCCAAGGGGTACTGACTGGGGTTAGGAGGCTGCTTTCCCACCCTGCCTTGCCAGTCCTTTCTCTGTGACCTTAGGCCAGCTCCTCCCACTAAGTCTCAGAGTGTCCAAGTGCATATGGGAAGGCTGGGCTAGGTGATCTATAAAGGCCATCCCAGATGCTAGGGGACGGAAGGAAGTGACAGCTTCATCCCACTGCCTTTCCATATCCCAGGGGCCTCGGCCAGAGACAGGAGGCCACTGGCTGGGGGATGCAGCCAGGCCGGGCCCCAGCAGGCGGCTCACAAACCTCCTTGACTGTCTGGAGGATCTCGTCCTTCTGGCTGCTGCTCTGCTGAAGGAGCTGGGCATGCTCCCGCTGCCCCAGTTCCAGGCGCCGTTCAAACTCGAGTTTCTCCAGCATCTTCTGTTCCTACAAGACACAGATCCTTAGTGACTGTCAGCACAGGCCCTGGGGGAGTTAGGACATAGAAGTGGGGGGAATTGGCCAGGTGCGGTGATTCACGCCTGTAATCCTAGTACTTTGGAAGGCCGAGGTGGGTGGATCACCTGAGGTCAGGGGTTTGAAATCATCCTGGCCAACATGGAGAAACCCTGTCTCTATTAAAAACACAAAGTTAACCAGGCACGGTGGTGCATGCCTGTACTCCCAGCTACTTGGGAGGCTGAGTCAGGAGAATCGCTTGAATCTGAGAGGTGGAGGTTGCAGTGAGCCGAAATCGCACCACTGCACTCCAGCACTCCAGCCTCAGCAACAAGAGTGAAACTCCATCACAAAAAAAAAAAAAAAAAAAAAAAAAAGAAGTGGACAGAATCAACCCCTCAACACTGATGGTGCAGGCTGCAGGTCTCCAGGCTGAGCAACCCCCACTCCCCTCCTTCCGGGGCCCAACTGAAATAAAACAAGCTGTTCACAGGCAGAGGCTGGTGGTTTAGAGCCCGGTGCTGGGCTCAACCCTGAGCCTCAGTCTCTGCACCTGTCACACGGATGCTCTACCACCCACTGGAGGCACGTGAGGATGCGGCAGACCATGCTTGTAGGAGGAAGGCATTACTGTGACCTCTAATTCTGAGCTGGGAAGAAGTCATTTTCTCAAATATTTTATGAGTTGAGATCTTTAATGAGAAAAGAGTGACAGAAGAGTAAAGGCGTTTTCTTACCTTCCTCTTCTCATAGTCTGAGAACCTGTTCTGGGAGGGAAGAAAGACAGTGGTCAAGAGAGGGTGGCAGCAGTGGTTCTCACTGGCATGGGCCCCAGGAACCCTGGGCGGCCTGACGTTATACTAACTCTGGCCCAACCCAGACCACTGCCTCAGACAGGCGCGGTGGGGAGATAAGGGGATCGGTATTGATCAAGGGCACCAGGCGGTTCCAGTGGACAGCTGGTTAGAACCCCTGGGCTGCCACTGTGTGCGTGGCACCACAGCAGCGAGCTCTTCGAGACAGTTCTGGGATCCAGCACTGAGCAGGGACGGTAGTCTCAAGAGCAGAGCAGGAAAAGGGATATGTGATGCCCATGGATGTCTGTGTAACACACCTACAGCACCCAGCTCCAGTCCACCAAAATACTCACAATGCACAAAGATGTCGGTACAACTTCCTGCAGAATTATTCAAAAAAGCAAAAACACAGGAAATAACATATATCAACATCTATCTGTAAGTCATGGTGTATCTATTCAGTGGACCATTACACAACTGTGAACAGGGCAAATGTGTGCGATCCCTCATGTGTAGCATGATTCTGCTTTTACAAAAACATCATCAAGAAAACTCAACTCTGAGCATATGTGTGTAGATATTGAGTCAAAGGAAGGATAGTCATTGATCAGTCAATGATAACTATCTCTAGGTAATGGGAGTGCACGGTGGGAAGGCTGACATTCACTTAAGTGTTTAATTGTCTGTATTGTTTAAATTTATAACAAGAAGCAGGAATTACTTCTGTAATTAAACATCAATATACACAAGTTATTTTAATTTTTTTTGAAATGGAGCCTCACTCTGTCACCCATGCAGTACAGTGGCATGATCTCAGCTCACTGCAGCCTTGACCTCCTGGGATCTAGTGATCCTCCCACCTCAGCCTCCTAAGTAGCTGAGACTATAGGTGCGAACCACCAGGACTGGCTAATTTTCTGTATTTTTGGTAGAGACAAGGTCTTGCTATGTTACCCAGGATAGTCTTGAACTCCCGAGCTCAAACATCCGCCCGACTCAGCCTCCCAGAGTGCTGGGATTGCAGGCATAAGCCACTGAGCCCAGCAGACAAGAACTTTTTGAATGGTCCTTCGATTAGTTTTCTTGCTCTGAGAACAGGACCAGTCTCTGAATTACAAAAGCAGCATCCTATAAATAGGATTTGTCCAATGCCAATGGTAGGAATATAATTTTTTAATTAATCTTCAATTATACAGATAACATCTGAATATATTCATTTTGTAAAAGTTTGAAACATGGCACAAAAACAACTAAAGTACCTCTGACCACTCCAGCCTGACCCTGGTTCCCCTCCCATCCCACACCTCCTGTCAGGCGTAGCTATCAATATCAGGCCCAAAGCCATGCATCTGTACATATATAATTTGTGCCTTGGGGAAAGAAATACATTTGTACGTGTGTGCATATATAAATATATTTTTTAATCAAGGAATAATCTATGTGCTGTAATTCATCCAATGTTAGTGAACAATTGTATGAATCTTTATATATGCATAGAATTCTGTAACCTCTAAACACAATCAAGATAGAAAACAATTCTGGCCAGGTGCGGTGGCTCATGCCTGTAATCCCAGCACTTTGGAAGGCTGAGGCAGGCAGATCACTTGAGGTCAAGAGTTCGGGATCAGCCTGGCCAATACAGTGAAACCCCATCTCTACTAAAAAAAATACAAAAACTAGCCAGACATGGTGGCAGGGGCCTGTAGTCCCAGCTACTTAGGAGGCTAAGGCAGGAGAATTGCTTCAACCTGAGAGGTCGAGGTTGCAGTGAGCTGAGATTGTGCCACTGCACTCCAGCCTGGGCGACAGAGTGAGACTGTTTTGAGACTGTCTCAAAACAAAAACAAAACAAAACAAACAAACAAAAAAAACATTTAAAAATGTCAACTTTGCTGGTAATCAGAGGACAGGTATGTAAGTTAAAATGACAATGAAATACCATTTCCTCCCTGAGATTGGCACACATTTTGGCATGGCAATTTCTGTTGGCCAGAGTGTGGGACAACAGGTATCTTCACAAACTGCTCTTGGGAGTGAAAATTGATATCACCACTTTGGAGGATAACTTGACAGTAGATGTCCCCCCAAAAAGTTTTTTTTTTAATTTGAGATGGAATCTTGCTCTATCTCCCAGGCTGGAGTGCAGTGGTGTGATCTCAGCTCACTGCAACCTCTGCCTCCCAGGTTCAAGTGATTCTCCTGCCTCAACCTCCCAAGTAGGTGGCATGCGCTACCATGCCTGGCTAATTTTGTATCTTTAGTAGGGACGGGTTTTTACCATGTTGACCAGGCTGGTCATGAATTCCTGACCTCAAATGATCCTGTCACCTTGGCCTCTCAAAGTGCTGGGATTACAGGTGTGAGCCACCGCGCCTGGCCTTAGCCTCCCGAGTAGCTGGACTAACAGGTACCCACCACCATGCACGGCATTTTTTTAGTAGAGATGGGGTTTCACTGTGTTGGCCAGAGTCTCGCTCTGTCTCCCAGGCTGGAATGCAGTGGCGCAATCTTAGCTCACTGCAACCTCTGCCTCTTGGGTTCAAGTGATTCTTGTGCCCCAGTCCCTGAGTAGCTGGGATTACTGGTGCATGCCACCATGACTGGCTAACTTTTGCATTTTCAGTAGAGACAGCGTTGTGCTATGTTGACCAGGCTGGTCTCAAGACTCCTGGCCTCAAGTGATCCACCTGCTTTGGCCTCCCAATATTTTTTCTACTGGGATGGTTTTCTTCTTATTGCTTTGAAAGAGTTCTTCCTATGCTCAGTCTACGAATCCTTTAGCACGTGTGTGTATTGGTATTGCAAATATTTCCTGAGAACATAAACTGGCACCATTTCCCACACAGCCTTCTCCTTCCTCTAATTCTTGCTGAACTGTCAAAAATAAATAAATAAATAAAATCCCAAATGCATTCCCAGCAGCAGTGGAAAACAGGAAAGGGTGGCATCTAGGAACCAGAGATTAAGAAAGAGTCACTGGAAGATATGAAGACAAATGTCCGGCAGCTGGCACTCCCACCTGGTGATGGCTTCCCCATCTACCAGCCAGCCGAGGACCCTGGATCGTGAGCCTTGGGGATGGGGCAGAGGGTGCACCCAGGCTAATGTGGCAAACCCTTTGAGCCTCCTCCTCTGTGTCATCCTGTGTTAGCTCACTGCCAGGACCTGATGGGGCCAGCCTATCACTGGTGTTAACACATGTGCCTTTCTGACTCCTTTGCTAGACCCAGAGCATGGGGAGGGGGTGTGTCCTGGACAGTGAGTGACATTTGGTCCAGAAGTATTTGCTGAGAGATAACAATGGACATTACAGACACAATCCTTATTCTTTCACCAAGGCTCATGATGGGGAGACAGACATTAGATCATTTCCTGTACACCTCTTCATCAATTTAGCGCTGTAATGAGTGCTACCAAGGAACTGTGCAGGGCACTCTGAGAACACACAATAGGAGACCTGACCTGGGCTGCAGCTTCTCAGAGGATATAAGTTTAAACTGAGAACTGAAGGAGGCTGAGTACAGTGGCTCACACCTATAATCCCAGCACTTTGGGAGGCTGAGGCGGGAGGATCAGTTGAGCCTGGGAAGTTGAGGCTGCAGTGAGCTATGATCGCACCACTGTACTCCAGCCTGGGCGACAGAGCGAGACTGTCCCAAATAAAGAAAAAAAAAAAAGAGGATAAGACAAGCGAGTGGGGATATTCCAGACAGATGGAGCAGCTTGTTCAAAGGCCTTGATGAGGGAAGGATGGTGGTTAGTTCAGGAAACAGAGCAGCAGGGGACAGCTTGTGGTTGGCAAGCTGGTGGGGTGAGGCAGCCACAGCAGGCCTTGAAAAAGTAGTTCAGCTCATTGGGAGGCCAGTTCTAGTTCCATGGAAGAATCCAGGAGCTACAGCTCTGAACCAGCCCCTTCCATTCCCAGCTCCCTCAACACACACACACACACACACACACACACACACACACACACACACACACACACACGCACGCACGCACACGCATGCGTGCAGCAGGCTGGCTTGTCTTACCTGCCACTCTACTTCCTCCCTTGAGACTCTGTCCGTGGGCCCATCAGGGCTGTCCCGAGAGTTGGTTCCATCTTGCTCCAGAACTGGCAGCAGGTACTGAGAAGGAGGGTAGTATTCTAGCCCTGACTCTGTAAGAGATGGGACACAAGCTGACCAGGAGGGAGGAGACAGCCGAGGTACCCAGATACACTTCCTCCTACCGCTGGGGCACCCTGCCCCACCCCGACTCAGCCACTGTTCTCCTCTTCCCTAGCCTGGGCGCCCCGTGTTTTTCACCAGTCCTAGCCCTGGGCCTGGAATGTAGCAGGTGCTCTGTAAATGTCAGTGGAGTGAGTCAGTGGGTGCCAAGTACGCCTTCCACCTCTTTACCACCCAAGGGAGAATGAGGCGATGAAAAAGGCTGAGATAAGAAATGAAACCTGAGTCCTAACAAAGAGAAAGTTTTTCATCTTTTTAATTTATTTATTTACTTATTTATTTTGAGACAGAGTTTCGCTCTGTCGCCCAGACTGCAGTGCAGTGGTGCAATTTCAGTTCACTGCAACCTCTGCCTCCTGAGTTCAAGCTGCCTCAGTGCCCGGAGTAGCTGAGATTACAGATCCCGCCACCACGCCCAGCTAATTTTTGTATTTTTAGTAGAGACAGGGTTTCACCATGTTGGCCAGGATGGTATTGTACTGTTGATCTTAGGTGATCCACCTGCCTTGGCCTCCCAAAGTGCTGGGATTACAGGCAACAGACACTGCACTGACCAAAATCTTTTTTTTTCTTTTTTTTTAACACAAGGTCTCAGTCTGTCACCCAGGCTGGAGGGCAGTGGCGAGATTTTGGCTCACTGCAATCTCCGCCTCTTGGGCTCAAGTGACCTTTCCACCTAAGCCCCCCGAGCAGTTGGTACTATAGGCGTGTGTCACCATGCTGGGCTAATTTTTGCATTTTTTGTAGAGATGAGGTTTTGCCATGTTGCCCATGTTTAACTCCTGGGCTCAAGCAATCCACCCGCCTTGGCCTCCCAAAATGTTGGGATTACAGGCATGAGCCACCTTGTCCAGCCCCAAAATCTTTTTAAAGAAAATAAAGGAGGC